GCCATTTTGTTGGATTAGTCAAAGCCCAAAACTGACACCAATTTCTCCAACCGGCCTTCTCTGAAATAAAATGAATTAAAAATTAACATTTTATCGGCAAAATTAAATGAATTAAAAATTAAAATTCAGCTTATCTGTTCCCCCACCAACTGATTTTCCATTTTCCAGTGTTTTTTTTTTACGTCAAATTTGTCCACAAAACTTAAAATTCACGTGTTAGTTTTTTTTTTTTCAAAATTTAAACCATCTTTTCACGTTTTTATTTTTATTATTATTTTTTATTATTTTTCTTTGTTAATATTATTTTTTTATTTTTATTTGGTGATATTTTATTAATTTAAAATAGAGAGAATTATAAGTTAGTCTGGTTCATGTAACCTAATAATCAGATCATTTTGAACTAAATTATATAGATTAAGTTGTGACCTCTATTCGAGCGGCTCGAATCGTCAACCTAATCAATTATCGAAATTTCGAATTAAAAAAATAGGTTAACGCATCATTGTTGTCAAAATTAATTGAAATACAAATTTAGTCTATTTTTTAACGTACAATTTTTATTTTTAAAATAGAATAAAACTTTAATAAAATTCTAATAAGCAGGTAGAAGTTATTTATTGATATGAAACTAATTATAATGTATAAAATTATAGGAATTAAATTCAAAATTCTTTAAATGTATAAATTTAATTTAACCAAAAAATAATTTAATAAAAACATGGACCGATCTAGAATTCAAGGTTTCGTTGAATTGGTCCAAACTCCGACTTGGAAGACTTCCGCGTAGACTGTGACGTGGCGGTGGGAGAGCCCATAATAACAGGTGGACTATTCCACACGTGATTTTTCCACCGCCACTCTTCAATAATGAGTTTTTATTTAATTTATAAAAATTTAATAGGTTTGGTTCACATTTTAAATTTACTATTAAAAAATAATTTTAGTTTAATAGGTTTGAATATTAATTTTTAATTTAATTTTTTTAAATCTAATAAATTCTGTAAAATTAAAAAAAAAACGCCACTCTTCAATAATGAGTTTTTATTTAATTTATAAAAATTTAATATGTTTAGTTCACATTTTAAATTTACTATTAAAAAATAATTTTAGTTTAATATTATTTAATTTTTAATTTTTAGTTTAAATTTTTTTAAATCTAATAAATTCTATAAAATATATATATATATATATATATATATATATATATATATATATATATATATATATATATATTTAGGAATAAGTTAAATAAAAAATTTACCGATTAAATTTATAATTTATTTAATAAGCTAGATTGACTATATAGTGTATTATAAAATTATGCTCTAATAATTTATGAATTTTAAAGTATTAAAATTTCGTGTTTAATAATGAATGTATCATTATATGTCATTTTTAATTAATTAATTTTATTACATTATTTAATATTAGATAGTTAATTGGGGTGAAATAAATCTAGTAGATAAATAATTCATTAATTTGTTGTCAAAATAAATTAAATATATATTTAAAAAGTTATTATTGATGTATTATAATTAAATAGTTTATCAAGATTACTGAGATCAATTTAATAAAAATAAAATAAATGAATATATGATACTATCAAAATTTTATATAAATAAATAGTATTTTTTTAGTTTTCATAACTACTTTTTAAGAATTTTATTACAATAGAGGAAATAATTAAATTTTGCAATTTGGTGGGCCATGGAAAGTAGGCCCACTAACAGGCTTAGGTGAATATTGAGGTTGGCCCAATAAGAATACAATGGACTTCTTGGCCCAATAGGTTAAGTAGCGGCTTTCGTGGATATTGAGGTTGGCCCAATAAGCCGCTCAAATCCACGGCTAGTAGATATCGTTCGTTTCAGCTCATTACTATCATCGTCAGCATCACAATTTTAAAACTGTGAGCATGATGACCCCCTTACAGACTAGTTGCCTGCAACCAGCACATCGCGTCGCTTAGTCAACCTCACATAATAACCATCCATCCCACGCTCGTTGCTTGTTGGCGCATGCCACACGCCTACGCTGCTCACAGTCGTATGCTTCTCTTGCTCCCACTTTCAATCGCACGCCCAATCAACCATACACTCCAATAAGTCTAAGCATCATGGAATCATTATATAGCTATAACAATCTCTGATATCAATTGGGGCCACGAGACCGATCCAAACAAAGATCATTATTGACTTGCAAGTATAAAATATCAAGTTCCTAACGAAAACAAATCTCTTACCAATTTTTTAAAGATTTGGATATCTAAATAAAATAATTATATATTTATTTATTTATTTATTGGATCTTTGTTTTTGTTAAATCAATAATGTTTTTATGTTGGCCAACTAAATATATTTGACATAATTTGATATAACCATGAAAATTTTGGTCTCTAGAGAGAAAAAAAAAATTATATAAATTTCAGTATTTTCTCTAATCGATGTGATATCTCACCGTCCACTCTTTTTAAGGGAGACGCTGACATATCGTCCAATGACTGACTCTAATACCATTTCTAATAGCTCAAGCCCACCGCTAGTAGATATTGTCCATTTTAGCCCTTGACGTATCGTCATCAGCTTTACAGTTTTAAAACGCGTCTGTTAGAGAGAAGTTTCCACACTTTTATAAGAAATGCTTAGTTCTCCCTCCAACTGATGTGAGATCTCACATATCATATCCTCAAAATCCTCTTTGTTCGAATGTGGTCTCGGTTCTTTCATGTAACCCTCGTTTACTCAAGTGTCCAACCGATGTGGAATAAACCAATCCAACTTAGATTATTCGAGCCATCTACTCATTTTTTTTAATTTGTTATCGAATAAATATATATATATATATATAAAAGTTAGGAGATATATGAAATGTTTCAAGAAGCCAAAAAGAATCAAATAATCAGAAATTAATATTTTATTTATTTATTAAAGTTAAGGCATTTAAATTAATAATTACATTAAAAGTTTGAATTGAATTACGTAATTTCTTTGAAATTATTATCCAAAAAATGAATTTAAATGTTCCTAAGCGCCAACCCATACCCCCAAAAATGCAAGCATGTTCTACGTGGTCACTCTTAAAACCATTTATTTAAATATTAATATTATATACTCAAAGAAAATATTTAATATTTAATATTATATAATACTTTTGATATTAATTGTTTATTTAAAACCATTTATTTAAATATTAATATTATATAATACTTTTGATATTAATTATTCAGATTTGACAACTAAACTTTTTGATATATTGAAGCTCTTCAATTTGTGTTCTAAGTCCACTTTGTATGTGTGTTTTCTTCTAAACCACACACAATAAAACTAAATTAGTTGTAAAAAAAAATCAATTAATTTATTTAGATATTAATATCAAAATTTCATCAAATTATGGAAAAATACGTTTAGAGTTGGCCGAGTAAATAGGAATCGAAGCTTAAAGTTTTTTAATTGTGACTCGAATACTGAACCAATGTATATGGGAGTCTCTTCGAACCAAAGCTTGTGAAAAAATTATTGAAATGACTCAGCATAATTTTTAGGCATTTTAACTCAATTAAAATAAAAGGTTGAATTTCATTTATTATTTAATTTTTTAAAATCTAATTTCTTTTCTCCAACAAGGTACAAGCTGATTTGTATAAATTAATAAATTAATAATTTAATAATGTGGGTGTCCTTAGCAACGATTTGATGTAATCTAATGTATTAAACTGCCCAATTGTGTATTCAATATTTTTCTCTCCACACCCACACGTAACGCTTCATTATTTGTTTTTATTATATACTTTTCTTCACATGTCCTTTGCCAGCTCCACATCTTTTCTGGACTTTGATGTATTTTATTTCTTATATTACAATTTGATTTCATATATATATAATATGTTAATTTTGGCTCTTTGCTTAATTTCCAACACATTAAAATTAAAATTTCACCAATGAGATCTTCAAAATATATCTATATATTGCATATTATTTGTAATATTTATTTAATTTCAATAACGATTCAGCTCTATTACATCTCAGAGTAATTTAGAAGATAAAAGTACTTTTGATATTTTTATATCATTTTAAGTAACAATCCATATCCAGAATTCAGAATCTTGATTTAGTACTTAATAGCCCCGACACTCCCCTACATCCCTTGTAACATGACCACGTTACTTTCTTCTCGTTGCTAAGAGTGAAAACCGTCCCCATAAATAAAAAAAAAAAAAATAAAATTCAAATATTTGTAATAATTATTTCTTCCTATTAATTGTCCATGTGTATATATTAATTATCGAGGTGTAATGAATATCTTAAAGATCAACATTCTCAAAGTCCTAACTTAATAATTTAAATTTTTTATATGCTTATAATTTAATAAAAGTACGAAAAATAAGATAATTTATGTGGAATATGTTAAAAAAAAAAAAGCACTTGTTTTATATAATAATAAATAAATAAATAAATAAAATAAATGCACTTTCTTTCCCCATAACTTCTCTCTACGGTGGCCGATTGATTTTGGGCTCATGTTTTCACGTGCTTCCCATATGCTAAAGTTTTGTGTTTATTTTGGATTTTTTCTAACCAATTATTTAATCCACCTCCTTATATTATGATCCTTATCGATTTTATTATTTTCATCGGTGGATTTTTTATTTTATTTGTTCATTTCCAAAATATAATTAAAATTGTAAATAAACACGTATTTTCTAACAAAATATCAGATAATTGAATTAAATAAATACAATTAAATTGGATTATTGTAACATAATTATATTTATTATTTGTTCACTAAATAATGAACCCTTTTCCAAAATTATATTCCAATAATCTAGGACGAATTTAATAATTTAAATAGAAAAATATTTTTGTTAATAAAAAAATAGAAGTGGCAATTCCGAAGGGAAATACGATATATCGCGATACGATAAATTGATTGGTGGGCCTGGAAATTCGTCGAGATTTTGCGATATAAAAATGGGCCTTTTCCACCCACCATTTCTCCCTACACCTACACCTTCCCTTCTCTCTCATTCTGTTAACTGAAAAATACAAGGCAATAATGGAACGCCAAGAGGCAGGGTATCATCAGGCGGCGGAGGCGGCGGCGGCGGCGGAGGAATCGAGGTTCCGGCGTATCTGTGTCTTCTGCGGCAGCAGCGCCGGCAAGAATCCGAGCTATCAAACTGCCGCCATTGAACTTGGAAAGGAACTGGTACTTGAATTTTTCCTCTTCATTGAATTATTTATGAAATTAAATAATATTTAATCGAGAAATGAAATCGCAGGTGGAAAGGAACATTGACCTTGTTTATGGCGGAGGAAGCATTGGGCTTATGGGCTTAGTTTCTCAAGCCGTTTACGATGGAGGACGCCACGTGTTAGGGTATCATTGGCTCTCTCTGTCTCATCTCTCTCCCTCTCTCTCTCTCTCTCTCTCTCTCTCCGGTTTTATTCAATTTGGGTTTGTTTTGTTGCAGAGTGATTCCAAAATCCCTCATGCCCAGAGAGGTAATTTCACTTATTTTTTAATTTAATTTGAGGCAAAAAAAAAATGTAATTAATTATTTTTAATTTTATTATATTTATTTTCAGATCACCGGAGAGACGATCGGAGAAGTAAGAGCTGTATCTGGAATGCACCAACGGAAAGCGGAGATGGCTCGTCATGCTGATGCATTTATTGCCTTACCTGGTACTTATACTTCTTACTATTTGCATTTCCACCCCCTAATTTTCTTCATTTTACAAAACATTCCCAATTTTATTTACTGACAGGTGGCTACGGAACATTGGAAGAACTCTTGGAAGTCATCACTTGGGCTCAGTTGGGCATCCACCAAAAACCGGTAAAATAAAATAAATATATTTTTTATTTTATTTTAATTCAATAAAATTAAATTAATTAAAATAAATATTTCAGGTGGGTTTGCTGAACGTGGATGGCTACTATAACTCGCTCTTATCATTCATTGACAAAGCAGTTGACGAAGGATTCGTATCCCCAGCTGCCCGTAGCATAATAGTTGCTGCCCAAACTGCCCATGAGCTCATTTCCAAGCTAGAGGTACACATATATATTATTTCAAAAATTTCAATATAATTAATTATTTATAAATATTTATTATATAAATAATAAATTTTTGTACTAAGATTTATTATTATTATTATTATTATTTTAAACTTTCACACGTCATTGATGGGGCCCACACAATCACATAATCAGAGTCTGATTTGTATTTGTGATCAGGAGTATGTGCCAAAGCATTCTGACGTGGCATCAAGGTTAAACTGGGAAATGGAACAACAATTAGGATATACTACAAAGTTAGACATTGCTCGTTAGCTTTATTAGTAGCCACATGTATAGATTAATCACCGTAGATTAAATCTGATCAGAAAGTTGCTTTGTAATATTTTATAATTTTTTCCACTCCGGATTTATTTATCAAATAGGAAGCTAACTGTCTTGAATTTTAAAAATATTTTCAAAGAGTTGATGACTAGTCTTATTTTTTACGAGCTAGTGAATTTGTAAAGTACGATATGACAATTGCCTGTACTTGTCCGACCCAACGTCCGTGAACAAATACAACAACGTCACATCACAGCTCACCTTTGTTGCAACGAATTATTGAAACCGAGACGACCAAAAAGGATAGAAATGTAATCCACTTTTTAAAGAGGGGGGAGAGGGGAAAGGGACAGTAGTAGTGGGAGTGACTGTAGGAGAAGATATAATTTGAATTAATCATATTACATTAAGATGGATATGTTTGAGAAAAGAGAAAGGGAAAGAGCAAGAAATGTCGTTGCTTTGGGACAAAGACATTGTACTAAAAAGAGGTTCACGTGGGCGTGGCTTTTGCTTCATAATTAAATTTTTTACCTAAAATAAAAATAAATAAAAGAACAGTTTTTGGGACATCAAAACTTAAAACCTTCCAAATCTTGCTGTGTTGTTTGACCATGTCTGTCGTTTTAGTTCCACTTTTCGACAACCATTTGCTGATAACCTCACGTGTTTGTCACATTTTTCCAAAGAATTCGACTCGGGATGACGTCTAGACATATGAGTCATGTCGATGGAGATCGAGATGACAAGAAGAGATGCGACGTTGTGTTGATAGACCTTGGACCCGATCAAAGGTTGCAAGGTCGAGCAAAATGACTTGGCCTAATGTAGAGGCAAGTCAGTTGTGTCGTAGATGATTGAACCTGTATGCACAATTGGTGTGTGTGGTCAAACAAGTTTGGATTTTGCACAAGTGATGTTCGACTGACGAAAATAAATCTCGCCTAAGGTCCAAGAACTCGAATTTGTTTGTGAGAATAGTTTTCATTCTTAGAAACAGTTCAATATAAGTAAATAATATGGTCATGTCACAAAGGGTGAAGAAGAATATCGGGCATATTCATTGTCAAATCGAATTTCAAATTTTGATATAAAGCATTATATTAGCATGTTGAAAGAACTCGGGTCGGTTCGTGGGGTAGTCTTCGTTCTTAGAAATAATTCAAAATTAGTAGGTAACATCGTTGTGTCGCACGGAAAAATATAGGGGTCATTGAGTGTCAGATTCGGATTCCATATCCTAATCTGGATTTTGGATATGAGACATTACATTAATATGCTAAAAGAACTCGAATTAGGTTATACTCAGGTATATAAACTTTTACAGGGAGAATGTCATACCAATATTAAAATCAAAAATATAATCGCATCATACATTTTCCTTTTGAATTATTATCGATCACATCAGATTAAATTAACTATTAAATATGTCATATCATCATTTATCATACAAAATCACAATTCAAAATTTAAAAACTTGATATTCAAGAACAAAATAAACCATCATAAAACTTCAATAATTGAATTCATAATGATGATTTTTAGTAGACAATAAATTAGAACCGCAAAAGAAAATAGCGATAAAATAGATATGAATAGCTTTAATAGAGAATCGTTTTTGGTCGAGGTGAGGGTTTGTTCAGATGGTCCGGTCATTACACTACCTAGACCATTATATAATATATACATACATATATACATACATACATATATATATATATATATATATATATATAATTTATTTATAATATAATAGAATGAAAGGCATTTTTCAACTCATTCTCCGCCTTAAACCCTGAAATTCTAACTGTTTACGCCTCCACAGGCGGCGGCGCCACTGCTTTTGCCGGCGCCTTTGTATAACGTATTTATTCAAATGATTGGCTTCTGCATATGCGGCGTCGTTTCGGCTGAGGTGGCATTCTTTTTCCCTTTTTTATTTTTTATTTTTAAGTTTAATAGATAAGCTTTTAACCAGACCCATGATTCTCTGGGCATCGGTCCATTTATATGAGCCAGAAGCCCAACACGTTTTAGTTTATATATATATTATATATATATATATATTTATTTATTTATTTAATGGGTGGATAGACGTATATGAGCCCATTGTCGGTATATATTTAAAAAAAATGATTTAGTAATTTTAGAAATAAAGATATTGAGATATTTTAGAAAATGAGTATTTTAAGAAAATAATTTACGTGTCTAGCACCCTACCCAGGTTTATATCTCGAATAATCTCAAGTAAATCAAAATGTAGTAATATTGTACTGAGTATCTTGTAATCTCCTATCGATTGGTCTTACCGACAGTAACCTTAATTTTTTTTAACTTTTTACTGTATCACATTTTCATCTTAAATTTAACAAGGAGGCTAACAGTAAAATTGATAATGACGGTTGACGCTATGGATCTATTTCGGGAGCTCAAGTACATTAGGATTAAGAAACACGAACTTAGTCGGAGGATTTAGCCGTGAAATCGTAAGAATTAAATGTATGAAAATAAAAGCATTGGTGAAATTTGGGCAAAAAATGAAATGTTGGAGGTGAATGTCTTATGAATGTAGAGAGGTATTGGATACTTTGCCCATACAAAATGTCTATCGCTGATACTTTACTCAATTTAATTGGTAACTGAATCGCTCCCAATTTATCATTAGTATTTATTCTTATCCCGCCTGTGACCTTACATAACTCACAAGCCAATAATTATTTTGGATAAATTTAGATAATAAAATAAAAAATAACTAAAATAATAATGATATTATGTAATTTAAATATATTTTTAAAAATATTATAAATAAATACGTATAAACTTTGTTAACCTAAATATAATTCAATTGAATTATGAAAAAATGATTGAATTATAAAAGGTTATATTACTATCAGACAGACGTTCTCCACAATGGTATGATATATTCTGATGATTTTGTTCTTCAAATGTCCCATCTCGAGAGAGAGTATTCATTGATTATAAATCTATGATCATTCCTTAAATTAGTTCGATGTGAGACTTTCTTCATCCAACAACTACGTCATAAATATTATATTTTTTAAATAAATTATATCGACTGCACGTTAATAAATATTTTCTTTGTTAAATTTAATTAAGTGATAATTTGTGATTTTTTTGTAATTATGAAAAATCCAAACTGAAGGTGAAAGAATGAAAAATAAAATTGTAATTATTATTTTATTCCACAAATTTGTATAATCTGAAAACAAAATTAAAAGTTAAAAATATAATTAAATGGAAGTAAAAATTAAAACAATTTAAGGTGAGGATTGCAACATTGGTCGAGATTAATTTAAAATTTATTATTAAAATTAATATTTTATTTAATTATAAATTATTATTTTATTTAATTATAAATTATTATCCACGAGATTAGATGAAAGCGCCAAAAAGGCAATCTCTGTTCGCATGCCGGACGGTTACGTTCTATTTTGTTGTGCTCCCTCTCTCCCCACCATATAAATAGCCCCACCAACGCACTCGAGAAACGCAGCTCAAATTTTTCGTTGACGTTCTGTTTGGCGCCAATTAAAATTAAACAGAGGCGGGAGAACGGAGAAACACGGAGAGCTCTCCGTGGTTTTCTAATTGACCTAAGCGCCGCCGCCAACGACGAAGACGATCGTCTCTGTATCATTCCCGATCGTACTGTAGTTCGTCGTTTTTCTGCTTTCTTCCGGATTGAGTTTCGATCATTTCTATCTTGTTTTCGGCTGCTTTTATTCTCTGTTTGTCTAGACTGTATTCTGGACATTTCAGAGGTATTTATCGACTTCTTTCTCACTAGTCTTGATTTTTGTTAACTTGATTGTTGATTCGCTTACTAGTATTGCATGAACTTATCCTGTGCTATGGATTTTATCTTTCTTTTCAATTTTCTGGTTGTTGCTTGGACACGATTTTGTTTACCGGTTTCAGAATCTGATGATGATTGATTTTCGGCTAAATAATGTATTCTTTTGCGTCCGAGTATTTCTTCTTTTTCAATTATGAAATCTCATGAGGTTCATCGTTATGCGTTGCCGATGTTGGGGAAAATTTTGCTTTGAGTGCTATTTTTTTGCTCACGGAAAGTGAAGTATAGCTTGTATTCGCGTGTATGCCTTTATCCTTTGTGCATTCCATTGATACACCATAATCGAATATGTTTTATGTTCTTGTACAAAATTGTGTGGTTTAATCTGGTTTTGTATACTTCGATTTTTCCATCTGAATCATTCCCGACCGTACTGTAGTTCGTTGTTTTTCTGCTTTCTTCCGGATTGAGTTTCGATCAATTCTATCTTGTTTTCGGCTGCTTTTATTCTCTGTTTGTCTAGACTGTATTCTGGACGCTTCAGAGGTATTTATCGGCTTCTCTCTCGCTAGTCTTGATTTTTGTTAACTTGATTGTTGATTCGCTAACTAGTATTGCATGAACTTATCCTCTGCTATGGATTTTATCTTTCTTTTCAATTTTCTGATTGTTGCTTGGACTCAATTTTGTTTACCTGTTTCGGAATCTGGTGATGATTGATTTTCGGCTAAATAGTGAATTCTTTTCCGTCTGAGTATTTCTTCTTTCTCAATTATGAAATCTCCTGTGGTTCATCGTTATGCGTCGCCGATTTTGGAGGAATTTTTGCTTTGAGTGCTATTTTTTTTTTCTCACGGAAAGTGAAGGAAGTATAGCTTGTATTCGTGTGTATGCCTTATCCTTTGTGCATTCCATTGATACACCATAATCGAATATGTTTTATGTCTTTTCTCGTACAAAATTGTGTGGTTTAATCTGGTTTTGTATACTTTCATTTTTCTATTTGAATTGTGCTGCCTATTCACTTTCTCGGATCATAAAATGCTTCCTTCTATATTAAAGAATTAATTGTACGTTTATGCTTTAGGAATCATTGAATTGATCAGTTTCTATAACTCTTTGTTTCTTTCTTTTCTTTTTTTTTTTCCTTTTTTTTTTTTCAAATCTTAGGTCCCTACAAAATGATAGGAGCACTAATCACCAGAGGACTCACGTATGTTTTGTTTATAATTATACTCATTTATATGTTCGAAATTCTCTCTCTATAAATTATGTTTTTCATGTTCTAAGATCAAGTTTCATCGTGGTGATAGGATGATTTTGGGATATGCCTATCCGGCTTATGAGTGTTACAAAACTGTCGAAACCAGTCAGCCACAGATTGAGCAACTTCATTATTGGTGCCAGTACTGGTATGATGTTGCACTCTTCAAATTTCACTGATATTGGTTTTACAATAATATCATTTAATTTCTTGATTTTGAAAATCTCTTTGTGGATGCAGGATTCTGGTGGCTATATTGACGATTCTCGAGAGAATTGGTGATTCTTTTATTTCATGGTAGGATTTGGAGGATTCTTTCATTTTAATTTTAAGTATAATAGAAGTGAATGTTTGGAATTAGAAATGAAAAATCATCTATCCTTGATTTTTTTAAAACGAAAATGTGTATTTTATTATAAAAAGTTATTCGGATTTGAATGGTTTCCTTTTAGCTTCAAATATTCTCAAAACTACTATTTTTTTTTTTATTATTGAAAATAAATATTCATATAACCTTCTTCTGAGTCAGTTAATTTTTATAGGATTTGTCTTTAAGATATTTATTTACGAATGTTACTGGATGAAAGTCTTACGTCAGCTAATTTAGAGAATGATCATGAGTTTATAATCAAGAAATACTATTTCTATTGGTATGAAATCTTTTGGGGAAAGTTTAATCAAAACCACGAGAATTTAGGTTCAAAGTGGACAATATCATACTATGTATCATTTTTAGCATAGTTTTGCAAAATAATCCTTCCATTTTTCTTAAGATTAGCAACATTTTTCTTTGGCTCGAAAGGTTTCCATTCTATAATGAAGCAAAGTTGGCATTCTTCGTTTATCTGTGGCATCCAAAAACAAAGGTATGAGGAAGGTAATATCGATATGTTAAGCATATACAATCTTATATATGTTTGAATATTAGTAAATATGATACGAAACATATTGATGTGGATAATTATTTTTAGAGAAAAAAATTATAAATATAAATAGTTATGAAAAATATTTCAATTAACAAATAAACCTTTGGTACTTTTTAAATAAATTTATTTAAATTTCATTCCATTATTAAACTTTTTTTTTTTTATATATATTTCATCAAATTTTTAATAATTTATAAACATATAGAATTATTGATAAAAATGTTAGAACAGTTTGAGGTATTTCATATTTACTTTTTAATGCAAATATGGTATGTACTGTCAGGGAGCGAACCATGTGTATGATTCATTTTTCAGACCATATGTTTCAAAGCACGAGCCTCATATTGACCGCAGCTTGACGGAATTCAAGCTCAAGGCTAGTGATACTGCTTTTATCTACTTTCAAAGAGCTGCCTCCTACTTTCAAACAACATTGTTCGATATATTTGCAAAGTTCGCTCATCAATCGACCACCCCTGCTGCTCCCAAGGTAATAAACGCAACACCATGATTTTCATATTATTTTACTTAAAGATACACACCACTCTATATGCCATCACTAAAATTAGAACATGATATTATCGAGTAAAACTGAATGCACTATTTTAGAACTCGTAAGTAAAACAAAAACATAGTTTTGCTTTTTTAAAAACATAAAAAATAAAAAATAAAAAATAAAAAAACAGAAAAGGAAAACATGATATTATCGAGTTCAATTTAAAATTTTCCAAAGTTCCCTGCCTAGTTTCTATACTGTTATTTAGCAGCTACTTTTCGCATGCAAGAGTATATACAAAAAAGAGCATATTATTTTATACATACTGAACTTTTTAAAAAAAAAAATTAATTAAATTATCACATGCAAGATGCATGTTAGTATATATATCCTTCTTTAATAATGATTATCAATTTTGATCTTTTAAATGTTTTCTCATGTAATTTACACAAAATTAACTTTTAAAGATTATGTTGTATGTCCTTAAAATTAGGGAAGTTTAAGTTGCTTTTGACTTATTTTTTAGTTTAACCATTTTTTCTTAAAATATTTTTGAAAATATGCTTTTTTTTTATTTTTTTTTTAGAAGAGTTTTGTTTGCATATTTGTCTAGTACAGTGATTATACTCGTAACATATTTCTTACGTTCTTTGGTTTTTTTTTTTCATTTTTTTTTTCAGTTTAAATCCACTTTTTAGAATAGTCATCTCTAAATGTTTCACTGAGTTTGTAGATCAATTTATTTTTTAAAACATATTTTTAATCGTTTTAATTTATTTTTAAAACTATATTAAACACCTTTTCAGTAGTCATCATCTAAAAAAGGCTCTGAAGTGGAGAAACTAATTGTTTGAAAATTTATTAAGAGTTTTTTTTAGGAAAGAAATTATGATATTAACTATTTTTTTATTTTCTAAAAGAGAAAGAAACATTTTGTTTATTCATAAACTTTTTTTATTTTTATTTTTATTTTCTTCGCTTTAGTTTTTAAAAACGAAATGTAGGAATCTAATTGACCCATAAATCTTTTTCTTCTCACCCTCACAAAATTAATCTATTTGTTATTCTCTATTATTAAAATTAACAAAAGAAAATAAACATTTTTTTTTTTTTTGTAAATAAAAAATAATAGTAAATAAACCTGATGAATCCGGCTCCCCTCCCAGTTTTTTTTGTAAATCCAATTGCGATAACAATGTGATACAAATGAGATTTGATAACAGCCACAGAAGCAACCATCAACGGGAAATGAAAAGGAGGAAGCTAAAGAGGAATGAGAGGACAATGCTAGAAACAGAAACAAAACATTCAGACCAATAAATTATACCCTAAACTTTCTTCCAAAAAGAAAACGTTGATGGAATAAAAAACAGTCCGAGAAAACTCTGTACTATAAAATCTATTACAAACTCATTTACCAATATTGTAAAAAATGATAAATATATTACTTCTTCTTTCAACACCCCTCTCTCTTCTAATCTATTTTTTTCTCAAATTCAACCTTAAAAAACATCATCTAACACATCTTTAAACTTTTATTTTTGTATTTCAATCTCTCTAACTATCATTTTTGTGTTCAATGACACATTTGACCCTAAAATTTAAATTTTGTATAAAATATATTTTTTATTTTTTAAAAAATGTTTAATAAGTCAATAATTTAATTTTAGAGACCTTTATAAACTCAAAGAACTATAAACACAAAAATTTAAATTTTAATAGTATATTAAAAACTTTTAAAATTTAAAATCTTATTAGATACATCCTTAAAACTTAAAAATTTAAGGGCTAAACTTGTAATTTAACCTAGAAATCATGTTAAGTAGAGGAATTTGACTACTAATATGCTATTCGTAAGGGAGCAACTAAAATTCCTAAGTTAGAAATAGAAATATCATAAAACTCATAAAGCAAAACAAAGCCTTTTCTTAGTATAACACATTCGTTTCAAAGTCTAAACAGCAAATTCATGAATTACAATATGAATGAATGAGGAGATATATAGCACAAACAATAATCCTAAGCATTTAGAAAGAGTAAGGAAATAGAGAGCTGAAAGTAGAGGGATACTCGGCATACCTCTTCCCGACAAAAATGCTGTTGAGAATACACATAAACACTTCATATCCTTTGAGTTGAGAGTTGTTGATTCACACTTTTGTTATTACTCTCTTTATTATCTGAGGAATTCCATCGGACGTAATTTTCTGTAAGAAATGGAAAAAATTGTGTCGTGCTCCATTAAAAAACCAGAGGCCATTGAATTGTTGGTCTTCAAGAACATTTTAAAAGTTGTGTTCTTCACCCCATAAATGCGTAATGCTCACTTGAGAATGTGATTGAAACCAATAATCATCGTCCATCTGCAAAAACAGAGCAAAATTTTCCACCTAACAATGAGATATCTGTGAAAAACATTGAATTCATGCGGCTTTTGGCTTTGAAATTCGACCTACATTATTATATAAAGGTAAAATTCTCTGCATTCCCTGAAACTCTTGGAAAGAAGAACAATAAGTATCTTTGGTAGATATCTTATGATTCTTCTGTAGTTCAGAGGACACTTTCTCTTGGTGGAAAGTGCTTTCTTCCAGCTCTTGTTTTTCAGCCCTACAGGAATGAAAAAATGCATTATGTTTGAGATGGATATTCGAAAGGCGAAGCGGAATCTCAAGACGAATATCATGAACTTGTATACCAAATGAACTCTGAGAAAGAAGAGGCTGGCATGGGAGGGTTAGGTACCACGAATCTCTAAAATGGCATGATATTGTCCACTTTGAGCATAAGCTCTCATAGGTTTGCTTTCGGCTTTCCCAAAAGGCCTCATACCAATGGAGATGTATTCTATAAACCTATGATCATTCCCCAATGTGGGACTCCCTCCCAACAATCCTCCTCTCGAACAAAGTACACCATAGAGCCTCCCCTAAGGTCTATGTAGCCTTCAACCAGCCTCCATTTAATTGAAGCTCAACTCCTTTCTCTGGAGCCCTCAAACAAAGTACAACCTATGTTCGACACTTGAGTCACTTTTGACTACACTTTCGAGGCTAACAACTTCTTTGTTCTAACACTTGAGGATTCGAAGAACTGAGTTTGTAGCAGTATATAAGATGTCAGAATGGTATAATACCTCAAGAGGTACAAATCAATCGGCCCAGTGGTGCTTCTGATGATCAGTCTACACTGCCTCTCAGAAAAACAAGCCTCCTGGTTTATATAGGAAACCATCAATGAGAAGCTAATGCTAATGGGTTAAAGAAATTGGCAAAATCTATAAATTTATGATGATGAATACCTCATCCGGATCGGGCACTTCAATAAAGCTAGCTTGGGGGGCTTTAACTGCTATAAGTGTCTGATTCTAATCCATCAGTTACAGGAAAATAGTGAGTTAAAGGAGAAGATTGTTCGATTTCCTAAATTCATAAAAATTACCAAAGCTCAGGAAAAATAACCTTGAAGCAAGGAATCTGCAAGATGTCTTCTTCTGTTATGAAAAGATTCCTGATAGTCCAGGAGGGACAGATATTAAAGGAAAGAAGCAAAATGTGTCGTTGATATGAGTAAAAAGTTTGAGGGGATGAACTTACTTTCTGTGATTTTCATTTTCCTCGAGATTTCTCAGAAGTTCTTGCTTCATCCTGCATAAAAATGCATCAGTGGAGCCCATTTTTTTTCTCTTTTCTCTTCTTATTTGTAAGGAAAAATGGTCCGAGTTTCCAAAGCCTAACAAACCTTATAAGTTCATCAAGTCTGCGTTCATCTGCATACAAACTCTTAACTTCAGCCTGCAATAAGATCCCAACATAATGAACAATTTAGAATTTGCAGATTGTGAGTACGAATCTTGGAGTTAGAAGGGCAAAGCCACTTTTATTAGTCTTGTACCAGTTATAGTATTCTGCCGACTGATATTTTTCATCATATCCATTGGACTATACTAAATCTTCAGCAATATGCGTTATTATCCGATTGGATTGAAATTTGTAAGAACATTGTCTACAAAAATCGCCCACTCTCACTGTAAACCCCAAACCCCTACATAAACCTCCCACACTCTTCCTTAGCCATATGCGTACGATCCCAAATGGTACCGTTTTCCATCATTACCTTCTCTAGAATAAGTATGAACAATTGGAGGCCTTACACTATGACATGTTGAGATGTCTATTCCTAAAATAATCAATGAATATACAAATCATGAGCAACAGAGACATTAAAAATTGAACAATAAAGTCACTAAGACTAAAATTCAAAGCACCTTAAATCTACCAACTTGATCGTTGAGCTCTTGAGCCTCATGCCTCACGCCTCCCCTGTTCAGAAGAGTTTAACTCATCACTCAGTGCACTTTATAGTTTCCAATGAAGCAATAAGGATAATGTGAATATAATTACTTCCAACGTATGTGATTCGTGGTGGTTTTTTCTATAAGCCCTATCCCTTCAAGAACATTTGTAATGTCATAAATCCTCCTCTTTTGAACCTGAATCAAACATAATTCTTAAATATCTTAATATAGAAAAATAAATAGTTAATACAACTATCAAAGTTGTAAAGGACAATAATCTCAGCTAACTATCCCTAAGACCTTCCGAAGAACAGAAAAAGATTATATACCTTTAATATGTCCGCCGTTTTATTTAGATCAAGCGTTCCATCTTCAGCCTCCTGAACTAACCTGATAAATTTTTTCGTCAAGAAGCCTGCCGATTAAAATATACAAATTTTCAAATCTCAACGGCCAGATCCAGTGTATTCGAGAAGATTTCATTAGATATTTGTTCACCTCAACTTTACCTAAAGAGCTGTCGTACCGACCGTTAGTAGATAGATTAGGACCATCAAGATGCTCTGCAACAAAAAGAAAAGCTAAGGAATAAAAAAAGAGAGAAACAAAATGTGCATATTGAACAGGCTAAGGCGAGAAATGAAATGCATATGCGATTAACATTAAGCAGTTGGATAGAAGGATACTGTGATTACCATCTGTAGATTTTTTAGTCCTGGACTTTGAATTTTTCTGCAACTTCAATTTTTTGTTTTGCTTTTCAGTTGCATTAGATACTGGTTCACAAGAAGAATCATTAGATCGCATCCTCTGTTCAGAGGCTACAGCTCGTTTGCTAGCCAAAGCATCAGAGTCATTAGTATCATATGTCCGTTTCAACTGCAAAAAGAAAATTGTTGATCCAATAAATGTTTACAGAGATGAGAAAAGAAATAGAAGTAAAATAGATCGATACACAGATCATCAACTCTGATATTTAAGAAACTAAAGACAATCATAAGAATATCGAAAAAATTGCTCGCTAATATCTTGCGACATTTATGCATAGGATCTTACAGAAAGGCACTCCACTGCGCTAAAATCGGAAACAGATTAAAATGGAAAAATTAAAAATCTATTAATAAAATTCAAGATACAAAAATTAAAATGTGTTCCAAATCTTGTCAGCTCAACTTAAGGCGAGAGAATTCCACTCGTGGCGAAGCATAACAATTGACACATTAATTAGCAGCTAATTAAATCAAAGTAGAAAATCGCGATCCAGATTCATAAATCTACCAATCTTCACTAAAAAAACCTCATAAACTCAAATATTGAATATAAATGCCGATCTTCAAACTTAAATGAATACTCAAACAAGATTGATCGCACACCGGAAATCAGAAAACAAACAGCAAAATGGATAAGATATCAAAGAAAAACAAGAAACTCACGTCGAGCATAGCAACTGTAGAATGTGCGTCGAGAGCAAGACGACCGTCGCAAGCGTTGGATTGATCCGACGGCGGAGAAGATCGATGATACTGACGGAAACACTGAGGAATAGGTTGAGCAAGAGAAGAAGAAGCAGAAGACGAAGACAAGGACATGTCGCCGCGATGGTGAGAGTGAGAAGGACGGAGATGTGATCGGAAATCGGAGTGTCCGTGACGGAGGAGGAGATCTTCGACGGCGTTCAACATCGGAGAAAATGGAGGAAAAAGGGAGGGAGTTCTGGAGGTTTTTGAAGATTGGAGGGAAAGAGAGAGAAGCAAGAAAGAAAAGTGAAGAGAGAGAGAAAGTAGTAGCGGAAGATTAATATATGGAAGGAATTAAAAAAAGGAGATCTGAAATATTACAAATTAATTTACAAGCACGCCATTTTCCAATAATCACTCCATCACATATTTTCACAATTTATTTATTTAATTAATTAATCTAATTAATAAATAAATAAATATAAAAATAAGTCCCCTTCAATTTTGCCCAATTTTGCTTTATCTGAATGTTTATTTGAATTAAATTTAAATATAAAAATAGTATTGTTTTCAAATAAAGACTAATTTATAAGTTGTCTTTTTCGTAATTTAGAAAAAAAAAAAAAAACAGCTAAAAGGTTAATAATAATAATAATAATAACAATATCAGTATAAATTTTGCTTTCAGGTTTGGATTATGCAAGAATT